AAAGCCTCCTTTATATAGTGTGGTGGATTAGGGTTACATCCATGTAAACCCTAATACCCATGTCTTTCATTTCCATGAGATCCATGGGTTAAAGCTCCATGGAGTTTCCATGGACTTTCCATGCAAGCCTAGCCCATTCCAAATAAGCATTAGCCCACACTATATAAATACAAGAGCCCATATTTAATTAGTCATACTTTTGATCTCTAAATTAATTCTAAATTAATTATAGATCAACACTAATTAAATAATATGATTTTTTATATTAATATATTAGAACTTATAATATATTAATAAATCATAACTTATACTATTCTCAAAAGTTATCCGTAAATTGTTCGGGTGAAGTGCAACCCAAATGAACCATGCCGGGTCGGGTCAAGTACATACCAAATATAGTTATGGACTTAGACACTATATCCAACACTAGTGGTAGTCAAGGCAAGGTATGGAGCGAGATGATGCATGTTGTAAGTGCTCAGGAAAGAATGAGTGTCTCCACGGCAGGTAGCTGTTGGTCAGAGATCTTATTGTGATCAATGTTTTCTTCGGGTTTGCCAATGTTCGAGTTTCAAGGCGGTTGGGTCGTTGCGGGAAAGTTTCGATTGTTGATAGATTTGTTAGTTCGACGTATAGATTGTTATCTATACTCCGGGAAGGGTAGCAGTTGATTTGTCAATCAACTTCAGAGTCGGTATGTGTAGTTTCGCATGGGTTTTGATCATTAGAGGATGGGGTTTTGGATTTTCGTCAACGCATTCTCAGTCGTTGATGATTCCTCCGTACTTCAAATTATGAGTTGGATTACTTCAAGGGTTTCGAGTTGTGTAAGTTGAAGATCAGTGGTCGTGGCAAGTTGTCATGAGATTCTGTGATGGTGTATCGAGGTATCCGAGTATGATGCCCTAAATTGTTGGATTATTATGAGACTCGGGTTTGCTAGACGGCAAGTGGAGTATCGAGCGACTATTATCTATTCCAGTTGTGGACCCATCAACTAATTGTCACCAGACGGTAAACTTTCCAAGGGCATAGATTTGTATTGAGGAAGATGCTTTGTATGTGACCATCTTCATCAGGAGTAATAATGCTTGATCTGAGTAGGTGTGTGCACCCATTTAGGTTGGGCTACGGAGTATGAGTTCAGTGAACTCGGTATGGTGATAGCTTGATAGTGAGATTGTGGGATTGGTCGGTAATCGAGCAGTTGCAGGGTTGTAAGAGAGAGTGGATGAATCCAAGTGGGAGTAATCACTTAGGACTTTCGGGAAGGACCGTGGGGTGAGCCAGAGCGAGTAAGAGGGTGTTGTAAAATTTCGGGGAGCCGTAGCATTCACTAGCCAGTGAGAGAGTGTTGTAAGACTGCGGGGAGCCGTAGCATTCACTAGCCAGTGAGAGAGTGTTGTAAGACCGCGGGGAGCCGTAGTATGCACTAGCCAGTGTTAAAATGTTGTAAGACTGCGGGAGCCATAGCATTTACTAATCAGTGAGAGAGTGTTGTAAGACTACAGGGAGTCGTAGCATTCACTAGTCGTGAGAGAGTGTTGTAAGACTGCAGGGAGACGTAGCATTCACTAGTCAATAAGAGAGTGTTGTAAGATTGCAGGGAGCAGTAGCATTCACTAGTCAGTATGTGACGCAGAAGGGATCTTAGGCTAGGTAGCCCTGCCATTTGAGTCGTTGGGAGTTTGGTGGCCGGACCAGGTGCGAGACTAGGGTCTCCGCGAGGGTCGAAAACCATTATATCTCGATTTAAGGAGGGGTTGTCGCAAGTCAAAATGATTGGAGTGTAATGCATGCGTAGAGACGCGAACCTCGGGTAATGAGTTGAGTATCAGATTGGATATGAGTGGGTTCAATTTTGCTGTCCGACCAGACTCTTGTGTTGAGTTCTGCTCTATCTGTGTAAAGGATGGGCAGGTTGGGGTTTCGGAGTTTCAAATGGATTTCATATTGAGTGGTTATGGTTTCCATCTAATTGTGTTAGACCTGGGTGGGTCGGTTTGTTTGGCTTGGGGAGGACCACAAACACGCATGGAATTAGTAAGTCATAGACGACAAAGGTCGGAGGTGATGTGTGACTGCAGATCGATTGTAATTTTGTTTGGGGCTTATGTTTGCGGATATCGGTGAATAGTTCCGGTCGGTCATGGTCATTCAGCTCGGGGTCGGAGCTGAATCGTCTTGGACTTGGTAGTAGATTGGTTCTGTCCAACGAGGGGTCGGACCTAGTGTAAAATTTTGGTTTCCATGCGGATCGGCAGGTCATTCTTTTAGCATATGAGGGCAGAGTATTTAGGTTCATTCTTCAGATGGGTTCTGATAATAGTATCGGTGGTTGGTCTTCAGTGCGAGGTGACCCCTCCGTTTATTTTGGGTTTTGGGTTAGGATCGACTGGTATGACGGACATTAATGTTCAGCAGCTGATTATTACCAACGACTCATTTCCATCAGTCGCATCGAGGTAATCATAGTTGGAGGTGCTTTTTCAGGACAGCTATTCGACGAGTGACTGGCATGGTGACATTTTGCATGGGCGGTCTGTCGGGGGAACAGACCGATATAGGTTCTAGGTTTTTGAAAGGCAGAAGTGGTTCTGCAACGGCGAAGGGTTCGTTCTTCTTCAGACTGAAGGGTTCTGATTGATTTCGGTTGAATTGGGGAAAGTCATTTTATGTTTTGATTTTTCGGATGCACTTCTTGGAGTGTTTGATTTGATCTGAGTCTTGATAAGGAGCACCGAGATAGTGCTCAAGACGACAGAGCATATCCAGCAGGTCATACAGAGGATGCTGACAGCTCAGAGTCGTCAGGAGAGTTACGCAGAGCGAAGGCATTCTGAACTAGAGTTCCAGGTCAGCGACTTTGTTCTCCTGAAAGTATCCCCGTGGAAAGGGTGATCCGATTCAGGAAGCGGGGCAAGATGGGCCCTAGATACATTGGTCCTTACAGGGTAAGTGCGCGATTGGAATATAGAGCTTATCGGTTGGAGCTACCTGAGGTGTTAAGCCAGATTCATGACACCTTCCATGTGTCCCAGCTAAGGAAGGGTGTAGCCGACGAGACGACAGTGATTCCTTTAGAGGATATTCAGGTTGATGATCGCCTGAACTATATTGAGAGGTCGGTGGCAATATTGGATAAGAAAGTAAAGACCCTTGAGAAATAAGGAGATGCCCTTGATTAAAGGCCAGTGGCAACATCGTAGGGGACCTGAGTGGACTTGGGAGTCGGAGTCTGAGATGTGTGAGCAGTACCCAGACATTTTTCCATAGAATGACTTCGAGGGTGAAGTTTGATCCTAGTGGGGGAGAATTGTAACATCCCGATTCACAGGTATGGAATTTCGGGGCTTTACGCTTATTGAAGGACCTACTCGACGAGTTGGGAGGCCCCAACTCGTCGTGTAGAAATCTACTCGACGAGTTGCAGGGGTCAACTCGACGAGTTGCAGCTGAGTGTGAAAACCCTAATTTTTAGGGTTTGCACCATATTTTAAAGGACCTTAAGTCCTTTACCCCGCCTCCCTCATCACCTTATCACCCAGAGACAGACCCTAATCGAGTTACCTTCCACCTTGAGAGTGTGTAAGGATAAGAGTGTGTGTTTCGGTGCATTCCTTGCAGAGTGGAGAGCTTGGAACATGAAGGAGTCTATAGATCTGGCATCCATTCAGTTGTAGCATCCATTTGAAGTTAAAAAATCCATTACCTTGATCACTTCTTTGTTAGATCTCTCCATTAGAGAGTTTATGGCCATTTCTAGCTTCTTCTTGAGTCATTATTGGTTTTGAGCATGCTCTGAAGCTAAGATTTCAAATCTGAACACTATTAGGACCTTTAGGCCTAAAGACTCAAGCTTTGGCCAATCTTCATGCCATAAACCCCTTATTGAGCCTTGTTTTGGCATAGTTATCCCCTGAATGCCATGCATGGACGTAAAGCTTGCAGCTTTACGTGGTATCTCATCACTAGAAGGCTAGATCTAGAGTATGGGGCCTTAGTCTCGCTGAAAAGCGTCTGAATGAGAGAAGGAGCTGAAGGAAATCGACGAGTTGGTTAGGGTTTTCCCCGATATTTTGGACATTGTGCACAATCGACGAGGTGGTGAGACAACTCGGCAAGTTGACTTGAATTTTCACGAGTTTCAGAGAACAGAAGGAACTCGACGAGTCGCATAGATGCACTCGACGAGTTGAGTCAACATGGACTGTTGTCTTGAGTGTTGACTTCCGTTGACTTTTAGGGTTTGGTCAACTTGTGGACCTTGGATACCATGGAGGAGTAAAATGGTCTTTCACCCTTTCTGAGAATTAGTAAAGGAGTTAGCTTAACATCTTTGGGAGTTGTTAATGCAAATTGTTAATTAGAGATGATTGTGATATATGTAGGCGGAGTCTAGACCGACAGTTTGAGTACGAGACATACTTGCTTTACTTACGAGGTGAGTCTTCTCACTATACTTACCTGAGTGGTATTTACTGTGCGACCGGGGGGTCTTATTTGAGTTACTGACCGGAGGGTCTTATGTGCTTATACTGAGATATGTGATCTTATGCATTTTGTCTTTGTGATTTATCTTGTATATTATTCTGTGCTTTTATCGAGATAGTACGAAAGGGTCCAAACCGAGTCGTGAGACCAGAGGATCTTCACTGAGATACAGGACTGGAGGGTCCAACCGATCCGTGAGACCGGTGGGTCTTCACTGAGACACATGACCGGAGGATCCTTATCGAGATATAGCCATGAGAGGCTAATTATTTGTGTGTGGTATTTGGGGAGCTCACTAAGTTGTGTGCTTACAGTGTTGTGTGAAATGTGTTTCAGGTACATCTCAGGATGCGGGAAGACGCCGGCATGATTGTACACACCAGCTTGTTGATTTATGTTTTGAGGATTCTGTGATATGTGACAAACAGTTTTTATGGTTGTGTTTTTGAAACCTTTATAAATTGAGTATGAGACATGTTTAAACTATGTTTTGTGTGGAATTAAAAATGAAAATCTTATTTGAAAATTTAGAGTGTTATAGTGTTCGTCGGATCCCCCATGTTTTATTCGTCGTTGGAGAGGAATCTAGTCGTGCGGGCCTGAAAGTTGAGATTGTCGTTGGGACATATGACCCTGGTGCTAGTGATTCTCGTTCCAATTATACTACCGACATGAACCCGACCATTGACGACTTTGTGATGCTCGATTATGTATCAATGCTTGGTATTGGTTGTCTTGACATTGAAGGTCTGAAGCATATGTGCACTTTCGATGATGAGGATATTGCTGTTGCACCTGGTGGTGATGGTGGAGCTGGTGGTGCAGTTGTTTCAGGAGGCCAAGGTCTTGATGGTGTTGGGCCTAGAAATGTTCAAGTGGGTTGAAACTTGGTGTCCCATTGTGCTACCCTTCGGGGTGTGAATAAAAACTTATGATTTTGTGTTTCTTTTGGATGATGGACCTGCATGGCGTATGGTTGTTAACGGCCGTTTGGCTTATCTTTGAGATAATTCTCTAATCATTTCCCCCCTTTATGTTGGGGTAGTTTGTGTTATTTTGTATCTTGGTATTTGGTGTTTTTTTTCATTCTTCCACTTTGGGCCTCTTTTTTGAGGTATTGGGCTTTGATTTTTGCATATTGTGGTTGTGATAGAGTTTATTATCTATGATCATTCCCCAGGTTATTACCGTAATCTTTCCACCCTTGGGGGTCTGGTCTTGTTGTCCTTGTTTATGGGAATTTACCAGAATGACAGGCGATTTGGGATGGAAATCTTCGAGCCTTTGTGCTTTGGGTCTATTGGACTTATCATGGAAGTTGGGTGGGGAAGCCAAGCAACTTAAAAGCAAAGATTGGGATCTCTAAGCTTTTGTTTCTGGGACAGTTGGCCAGCGTGTGGAAGTTGGGCGGAGATGCCAAACAACTTCAAAGTTGAGATTATAATCTCTAAGCTTTTGTTTCTGGGCTGCTGGCCGGTGTGTGGAAGTTGGGCGGAGATGCCAAGCAACTTCAAGGCTGAGATTAGAATCTCTAAGATTTAGTTTCTGGGTCTGTTGGACGGCGTGTGGAAGTTGGACGGAGACGCCAAGCAACTTCAAAGTTGAGATTAGAATCTCTAAGATTTTGTTTTAGGGTCTGTTGTTTGGAATGTGGAAGTTGGACGGTGATGCCAAGCAACTTCAAAGCAGAGATTAGGATCTCTAAGATTTTGTTTCTAGGGCTGCTTGTCAGCATGTGGAAGTTGGCCGGAGACGCCATGCAACTTCAAGACTAAGGTTATGAGCCTTTCGAGTCTTTTTCCTCCCCTCCTTTTTGTGTTATTTGAGGGGTGGTTGTAAACCTTTATCGTAATTGTCGACATTGGAAAGTAAATGCATTCAAATTAAACATCAGATTTGGTGATCAGCCATCCAGAAAACAAGTAAACAAGATATGAAAAATTCATAAATTCATCCCTCCTTAATAGGGGTTACATGATATCCTAATCGTGATTGTGCTTGACATGGAACTTGATTCTTCATCCTCCTTGTCAGACTTCATTCTTTTAGAAGAAAAACCGTTTAAGGTTCCTTGCATTCCATGTCATGGGTATGCGTCTGTAACGCCCGAGAGTTAGGCTAGACGTTAAGGGGATAGTAATAATAAATATTTGTTTTATCAAATAATTAAAATCCTCAAATAGGATAATTTTTCTTCGTATGCGTTACAGGTTATATAAATACTTATTTATTATATACGTGTTATGTGGACAAATATTATGGGTATGTAATATTTGTATAAATCTTGTTATAAATTTATCAAAAAGTGATAAAACAACATTTTTAAATAGAAATATTATTTAGGATAAATAATTTTAACGAAAATTGTAACAATTTTAAAATCTCAAACTATATAAGACGTATTTGGTCTAAATACATTTAAGGGTGAATCCAAGTAGTGAAACGATAATTTTTCCGTTACACCCGTTTTTCAATAATAATTGACCAGGTACTTTTTACGACGTTAGTTATTGATTATAAATTCGGATAAGATTTTATTATAAAGGGTATAATGATTTTATTAATAAATAATTAAGGGGCTATAGTGTAACTTGAATGATATATTGTCTTAGTAAAAGAATAAATGAGAGACCATAAATGTAACTATAAGTTGTAAATTTCAAACCAACATACACGTTTAAGAAATATAAGAAAGGTCGTACTTTATTAATTAAAAATAACACGCGTTGTTTAAATATGTGATCGTACAACTTCATTTAAATAATAGGCATACGTGGAGACAAATGGTGGAGGAAACGTATCGGAATAAATATTTAAGTGACATGTAGTAGTTTTGTTTTGATCTTATCCTAACTTCGGTAGTAGTATAAATAGAGAGATATTTTGAGATTTTAAATCAGAATATTTTATTAAATTTATAAAATATTTTGGAAGGGGGAATTTCACTTAATAAGAGCTTGAGGAGTTATTGTCAGAATTAATTACGATCTGAGATATAGATTTGGAATATAAGGTGAGTGCATCGTTACTTTCATCTTACACATAGATATGAAGTATTTAATATAAATTACGTGTTATGCGTGCATATTATCTGTGTTCTTGATATTTATGCTGGATGAACGTTTTATACATGTTTTTAAATGATTTAAATTGTATATGTATTTTATATCTACAAATATGTTGGGTAGGATATGGGTAGATAAATAATGAGGAATGAAAGATGATATAGAAGAATATTAGCAGCCGCGCCATAACCCGTACGTATTTTTGATTTAAGTGTTCACCAGATGTACTCTAAATATCCTGGCAGCTGCGTCTAAAGGATAATACTGGCAGTTGTGCCTAATAGAGCACATCATAATTCTGGCAGTTGCGTCTAAACGATATTGGCAGCTGCGCCTAAATGATAATATTGGCAGCTGCGCCTAAATGATAATATTCACAGCTGCGCCTAAAGCCCTATACGATATTGACAGCTGCGCCTAAATAATAATATTAGCAGATGTGCCTAATCAGGGTCGGCCCAATAGGGCGGGCAAGGTGGGCGACCGCCCCGGGCCTCGCTACGGCTTGGGGCCCCAAAATTAACATTCTTTAATACTTTATTTATATGGGCCATGTTAAATAGTAAACCAAGATTTCATTAGATGAGTTGGTTAGTATTGTTGTAAGAATCGGTAAGTTTTATAGGCTGGCGTGTTCGATTCTTATTATAAGCATGTGATTTTTGAATTAACAAGAAATAATCATTTTTGCTCTCGTATTGTTGTAAGCATTCTTATTATAGACGCCTCATTTTTTTATGTATTTTTTAATAACTTAGGTGCGTTTGTTTTTTGGAAAAAACCTCTTCAGACCTCTTATTGTTGCGCGGCGCAGCACACGCGCAGCACTTTTCATCTCGCAGATGTTTGTTTTTCAGAAGTCTTCGGATTAAAAAACATCTGCGCGTGCGCTTCTTGGCGCAGCACTTGTTTCGCCTCTTCCTACCTCTTCCAACCTCTTATTCTTCTTTTTTTCTTGATAAAATATTGATTATATATTATTGAAATCTTATTTCACATTTTTTTCGTTTTTTTTTTGTTTATTCTTGTTGAAACTTTTTTTCTTTTTTTATATTGAATAATAATAATTTGTTGATGAAATATCATTATTTTATGCTAAAATATCTTTATTTTTTGTTAAAATATCATTAGTTTTTGCTAAAATATCATAAATTATTGACGAAATATCATACATTATTAAATTTTCGGTATTAAAAAACTATATTCGGATTATAAAATCCGTTTATTTTAATTTTTTAATATCTACAACAGTATGCAGATGTTAAAAAAACAAACACGCTTCTTATTATAGTCTGCAGCCGTTTGGTCCACCTCTTCTACTGCAGAGGGCTGCAGAGGTGGTCCGCAGACTTTATGATTTTTTGCTTCAAAAAAACAAACAGCACCTTACCCTTCATTTTATTGAAAATTGGAATTCAAATTACAAAAATAACCCCTGCATTCTTCTTTGTGTTCATCCAAGTTATTTAAATGGTCCCTCATTCTTTTTATTTTTTTGACAAACCACCCAAATACTTATTTTATTAAAATTTTGGTATTTTTCTAATCCTTATCATGCATGATTTTTCTATATGAGATTTTCTACCTTGCATCGTCTTTTAATATATAATAACTATTATTTGTATGTTTGTTAACAAAAATCAAGCTAACCTATAGGTTATGCAGGCCATTTTTTAGTTTTATAGTTTTCATCAAATTTTTTTCCAAACACTCATTTTTTTGTTTTTTTACCAGACACCAAAGTGACGGTTTTGACAAACCATCAAAACACTTATTTTATTTAAAATTTTGGGGTTTTTCTAGTCCTTATCATGCATAATAAAGTGACGGTTTTGACAAACCATCCAAACACTTATTTTATTTAAAATTTTGATGTTTTTCTAGTCCTTATCACGCATAATTTTCCTATATGAGATTTTCTACCCTACATCCTCTTTTAATATATAATAACTATTATTTTTATGTTTGTTAACAAAAAAACAATTAATATATAATAACTATTATTTGATTGTTTGTTAACAAAAACTCAAGCTAACCTCCAGGTTATGCACACCATTTTCAAGTTTTTTTACTTTTAGAGTTTTCATCCAAATATGAATTTTTTTTCCAAACACTCGTCATTTTGCTTTTTTTTTTACCGGACACCAAAGTGGCGGTTTTCAAAATGGTTTGATTGTTCATTTTTATTTTATTTTGGTTTGTCTTTTTTTTTTGCACTAACCTAATGGTTTATTGGTTTTAATATTTAACTCACATACTCTAAATCCGCTTCAATTTTTTTTCATACTATATATATTTAATTTAATAATAAGTACTCATGTACTTGTATCCATACCATCATTGTATTATTGTTTGTGATTACTAAATTTTGAAGGGCCTCATTTTTTGTTTTTGCCCTGGGCCTCAAATCAACTTGGGACGGGCCTGTGCCTAATAGATAACATTGGTAGCTGTTCCATTAGCAGCAAGGAACTTCGTGCATGTTCCTTAGGACAATCCTTAGGAATGAATAAATGTAGAATAAATGATTCTTAGGGTAGATCCTTAAGAATAAAGAAGATATTGGGGATGGGTAATTGAGTTAATTGTTCGATGATGAAACATAATAACTTTATTATTGTGGGTTGAAAACCCTATGTACTCACCAGGTTTCCCAACCTGACCCACCCAGTTTATTTGAATCACAGGTATCGATGCGAAGATGTATTATACTACGAGATTAAAGGAGATGTAAATTACTAGTGTAAATGAATGTAATGTTTGTTTATGTTTATGTTTCTGTATTGACGATGACATCCCAAATTTTTAATATAAACAAA